CATTCTGCGCTTATATATCCATTTGATGGTTTTTCCACTAAACACTCCCACACCCAATATCGCGGAACGCTTCTGCGCGATATGGCAGCCCACACTAACGCACCGACGCCGTTTAGCCATGGTGCAATCGCCACGAGTATCAACATTCCAGTCCCACCGACTCATTGACAACTGTTATTTCACTTCTCCTTCGCGACTTGCCTCTACCAGCATCTGTATGCTGGTGCTTGTCCGGATTGCCTGAGCTGTCTTTACTGGACTTGCGTTCCCCCGACTAAAAACAATGGTAGCTGGAGTATTTAATAATGCACAAACCGCACTAATGACTGCTTGGATGGTTTTCTACCTTGCAGATCTGGTAGCATGCACGAGGGAGAAAAACCTCGTGTGGTGGACTGGTAAGCCCTACAAGGAGGGTCGCCCTGTTACGTTGCACCATGGTGCGTTCGTATACCCGCCACCCCTCCAGTAGCACGGGTGCATCGCCCATCGCCGGTGGTTCTGAACCTGGCCTTTTAATTCAGGAAATCAAAAAAGCACCGCTGACTTCTGTTTGTTGCTGCTGGTGTTGGGCTCGCCTCGATGGAGTTAGCAGCTGGCAATGACATAAACCACAGGTGGAAAAAAGCTGGCCGCTCATCTATAAAAAGATTAAAAGATCACTTGTGATAGCCCGAAGATACTGTGCAATGCCAATGGCCTACATCGGTGGGCTTAGTTGTATCTGCTTTCGTCAGATCAGAGGCTACACCGCACCAAAGCCCATTCCGTCATCCAAACGGAGAATACATCTACTCACCACTCCCAGTGGTAGACAAGAAAGTCTTCATCGCTATGCATCACCTACAGACTATAGCTGGTATCAGTGCTCCGGGGACTGGTGACTATTTCTCAAGCACGCACTTTCTCTCCTGGTATTATCCAACTCATGTAATAAACACTCGATTAACCAGTTAGCTTAGAAGTCCATTCCCGCCAGCCCTTACACATCTGATTCCCATACCACGCTCCTGCGCGCTTATATCGGCTTTTGCTAGATCCCTTGTTATATAATATCGCATGTTAGCAAACTTAGCCCCTGGTCGCTAGCACACTAAGTACAAATCTACCTACTCCCTACTCCATGTAATCGCTTGTCATCATCCTAGTTGCATCAGACGCCAAGTTTTTCATTCTATGTATATAAAATCATATTATCCCATTTCATATCCCCTCAAACTCACTATGTTTTGCAAATCTCCTCCCATCCCCTCACCTTCCCAAGCCTTGAACTTCGGAAGTGCCCGCTTTGGACGTCTTAGCTGATCTCCACTCCACCTGGCCTATGATCTACAACTCCGGGATCACCAAGCGGACCAAGAAAACCTACTATCCCATATCGGTTTCGTTCCAGCTTGTTTCCTCGACCAGGCTGAAATGAACACCGCTGCTCAATGAACTGCACACCCCCAGCTGAACCATCTCAAATGTGACGTTCGTCGCGGGGCTGTTCAAAAACTGAAGCATGTCAGGCCAATGATGGCAGGGCACTGCCATACCCAGTTTGATATCGCACCCGCAACTGTTCCATTCCTCCTCTCAACCGTGCCCTCTTGCCTACTCATTTCATTGACCCCAACGACCACCCTGACATTCATTCCAACCTATTGGACTACTCGTTCAAATTAAACCACCTCTGTGTCCCCATCCAACCTCACCGCTTCACCTGACTTCCCAACAACAGTGCAACCATGAGTCTGCTTGTTCTCAGATTGCACCATATTTTTGAGACTAAACTTGCCGTGTTCTCCCAAATCGAATTATCCCATCTCCACCTCCAATTTTGTTATAATTCCGGCCATTTACCCAACCGCCCAAGGTCATTCATTGCCAGCAATGGTTTTCCAGTTTTAGTTCATGTCAGCCGACTGAGTCTTTTAATTAGTCGGACCTCATGCCTATTGTTTCCCACAAGTTGCAAAAGAAACAATATTATTTGATCGAGTACCCCCCACTCTTTATGACATTGTCCCCTTTTCGCACAGTCCCCACTACCCGCAAATCCCCCTATCATACCCCAGCCTGGCTGTAAACGCATGATCATGCCAGACGGTACGCCACCCACAAGTTGGGAATATACATTATTATTGTTATTCCTGTTACCACTTATCCAGTTTGCTAACCCGCAATTCATCACCTCCACTTAAGCTGGCCATGATATCCTCGATATTTTCTCCAAAAACGCATGGTGACTCTGCTTCCCTGCTCGTGCTGGTTTGGCGGGGACCACGCCTAAGTCGGATGATGCCCATCGCCTATGATGCTGTACTTTTCCTAAACCCCGTGTAACCACAATCCCCGCCAGTCGTGGTTATATTCTGACTATGACCTTATAATTATGCCTGAGGGCATGCCCCCGCACAAGTTTGGAATGAACATTATTTTTGTTATTATCATGAGAACTGGCACAAAGTTTGCCAGATTTTATGATTTTATCGGAATTGATCGTGTAGGATATTCTGCAAGAGAACGATGAATAGAGCGGTGTTAATGATTATAGTCATAATTCAGTGGTTAAATACATGAGTCCGTTGTTTGGCTCTCAGGGTCGGGTGCTGTTAAAATATTTTTTGAACAATGGCAAGACCGCAGCGTTTTACCTACTTCCAGCAGAGCATTCAGCCATCTATTTAGGACACCTCATATTTATTCGCACGCGACTATCCCCCAACCATTTTCTGCTTGCACAGGGTCCCTGAGTTATAAGCTTACCAGGACCATTCCAGCGATGCTTACCGTTACCTAAATCAAATTTGTTAATGCCACCACTCTCATCCTCCTCTAAACAGCTGCTAGACCATGATTCCCCATCATCATTCCCCTCATCGTGCCCAAATAAGCGCCCTGCGGGAAAACCCCGAAACCCAACCCCATTATTCCTCAAGGCTGGTCGGTAGAGTGCCCCAGTTGAATTCAGACCGCCCAATTTTACCCACCGACATTTCCCTTCCTGGTTCACTCGGTATTTGTCTTCCCTCCTCTTTGCTAAAAGAATCTCAGCTCCACACCGACCCGACCAACCTCAGCGCTCATTTGAATAAGATGGAGAGCGAAGTAATATCCGTAGCATGCAACCACTTGCCTACCTTCTAACTCCTGGTGGAATGTGTGATCCATCAGATCTTGCTAAAGCGTCAGTCCTTATTGTCACACTCGCCCCCGGCCAAGTCGGCTTATGGAATGCCGTTAACAGGTCTTAATAAACTATGCCCCCGATCACATATCGGTGAAACGCACTTAAGCCGCCGTCCTGACAGCGCGTAACATACATGATGCAGTATGTACAGCTCGACGGCTGCAAACGTCAACACCCTCCTTGCGTTGCGCACTGCCAACGCAATTCAGATATAAAAACGATGCAGCGGGCCTGTTAACATCGCAGGCCCTTCTGTCCTCCACCGAAAAATCCCAGACCGTGCGGGTCAGAGCTGCTCGCACTGGGTTACAAAGGCAGCTCACGAGGAATTCGCTCCCCAAACTTCTAGAAGCGACACCTGATAACTATCAACCGGACCCATCTCCCCTTCAGTAATTTGTATCAGTGGCTATTCTCGATGTGATTCAATCGCAAACTTCCTATGCAACCAACCCTTTGGAAAGCTGCGCAAGTTATATCACGGAAGACACGTGCGCATAGTTGCCAGAAACCACAGCATACCTAATCTGCCGACCGTCCACACCGGTTCCGCCAAGCACCCACCAGCTCTCTAAATCAGTATAGCTTGCTCTCAACCGGTAGGAATTACAGGTGCCAAATGCAGGAGCTGACATGTTTTCCCCCAAGGCTCGATGCAAGAACATTGATCCTCTACCGGTTATTCATTATCCTGGAATCGCTTAATACCCAAGCTCGCCATACCGTGATACCGGTTGGTGGTCCGCTGCCACACAAACCAGCATAACGACCACCGGCCATGCATCTCCAGCTAATGACCATGGGCTCCACACTTTTGCCCATGAACACCTGCCTACGCCACCCCCGATCTCAATGGCACCAACAAAATTTACCGCTGAGATTATGGATGCAGTATCTCACCAGCCCCTACCCGGTGCTTCAAGGATGAGAAACCCACCAGCTCTCTAAATCAGTATAGCTTGCTCTCAACCGGTAGGAATTACAGGTGCCAAATGCAGGAGCTGACATGTTTTCCCCCAAGGCTCGATGCAAGAACATTGATCCTCTACCGGTTATTCATTATCCTGGAATCGCTTAATACCCAAGCTCGCCATACCGTGATACCGGTTGGTGGTCCGCTGCCACACAAACCAGCATAACGACCACCGGCCATGCATCTCCAGCTAATGACCATGGGCTCCACACTTTTGCCCATGAACACCTGCCTACGCCACCCCCGATCTCAATGGCACCAACAAAATTTACCGCTGAGATTATGGATGCAGTATCTCACCAGCCCCTACCCGGTGCTTCAGTCGAGGATGAGAAAACATTCTCTTGCTTCAGGCCCCCTGACTAATGACACTTCGCCCCTGTTCACCAAAGCGCGTCCACGGGCGTTGTACAACGATGAACTTGTGGCTCCCCACCCAATGCTAGCCTTGTCCGCGGCAGAGCCTACAAATACTACTAACCAATCTTAGTCCTTATCAAGTTTTGCCCCCTGGGCACCTGGATGCTACCACGTGTGATCCGTTTCGGCAGCTACTTACACCGCTACTTACCGCGTTCTCTGAACCCGTGCGAGGCTACACCTCTATAACTTTAAAAAGCCCGTCAAGCTTTGCACGCCACGTGCGAGGAAGAAACTCATATTTACAACGACCGATGACCAACTCCGACCCTGATCCGTTTTCGCTACCCAACCCACCGAATTTCGTCCCACCTGAACACCATTTGCGGAAACCACCCATCCCCCCACGGCAACCACCCCTTGTTGCATCTTACCATCTCTACACCTGACGATGCAGAAGACGATACGGACGACAACTCTGTATCATACTGCATGCCATCCTGGCAGAGTTTCGTTCCATACCCTATACTGAGCCTGATACAGCACCCCCTGCGGCGTGTTCCTGACCTATTTGACTGACTATTTACCCATCTATCACCAATATTAAGTACACCTTCCCGGACTCCGAACCCTTGTTCACACTACCCCACCTCCATGTACCAAGTCCTTCCAGTACAATACCCCACCGTGGGTGAAGTTATGAGGTTCCTACATAGTGACGTTTGCTCACCAATGAGCTTATCAATAAAAATTGTTTAATGTCCGCTCCTTACTGCCCGAAATCCATAATCTCCGAGTACAACCAAGTATAACCTGCGTGCCTAAAACGTGGCTTACAGATGAAACTCCTGACACGACCATCCCGATCCCTGGCTTCGATATTCATTGCTCTGAAATGAAAAACTCAAGGGGCAGCGGATGTGCCGTCTACTCCCAAACATAGCTCCGTGCAACTCCCTTTGTTGATTCTTCCCTGGAAGGGATTTCAGGGATGTAGCTGCTTCGGTGTGTCAGAGAGTTTGCGCGTGCGCGTGTCCGTTCGTCGTTCCACCATCGATCTGACATGTGACTTGAGTGGCTGATTGGATGTGTATCCGATTGGTTGGCTCGCGTGAGCGCTGTGGGTTGACTGGATATG